AAAATAAATGGAAGTCAGTCAATGAACAGTCCAAATAAGAATAGAAATACAAACTTGTGTGTGTGTGTGTGTGTGTGTGTGTGTGTGTGTGTGTACACACATTTTTGCTACGTCATGGGGATCATTTTTCTGAAAACCACAGCCTTGCGGACCATATCCTGGTCCCCATGGGTGCAGATGCTGATTTTGGGTGAGAGGTTAGGTTTAGGGTAAAAGGTCAGGGTTAGGCTGTAGAAATTACTGGAAAATGAATGGAAGTTAATGCAAGGTCCCCATGAGGATAGAAGAACAAACTTGTTTGTGTGTGTGTTGTTGAAATAACACTGTGTTCAGTGTTCTCACACTGCTGAAGACGTTTGCTACTTTCGTTACTTTAATGTTTGTTTGGCAGTTTCTTCGCTCTCAGTTTGAAAATTCTTTGGCCTTTCTCCCAGCTCTCGTGTCCCGCAGGACCAACACGAGAGCATGGAATCAGTTTACAGAAGCAACAATTAAAACAATTTAATATTTGTAATGCAACCACATTCTAAATAACTCACCAAAAATTAGATAAGAAAATGCAATTAGCTTTTTATAAATAAACAATTTTCAACACAATAAAAGTCCAATAAATCAAACACTGAAAGTGTGAACTGTTCTAACGTTTCATTGGGTGAGAAGTCTGGTAGATCAGAACTTTGTTGGTAAGAACTAAAAACATTTCAGGTCATTTGTTCTGCTTTAACCTTCAAATGATTGACAGTTTCACATCATCTCATCAGAAACATCATCTTATTCCTGCAGGAAGTGCTACAGCTAGTTGACACTCTTTAGAATGGCTGAACTATTCCTTTAAATTCAGAGACTGAGTCAGAGGATCTGTGGTTCACAGAATTCACACCAAAAATAATTACTGGTTTCCAACGAAGAACTTACACAATCTGCGGGAATGACTCTCAGCTACTACTGCTTCAACTTTTACCTCAATATTGTTCAGACTAAATGAGACAGAGACACGTTTGGTCATACTGATGTGCATGCGTGTGTGTGTGTGTGTGTGGGGGGGGGGGGGACTCCAATATTTAATCAGTTAAAGATGTGCACTCATTACTTCCTGAAAGTTTAATGAAATTCTTCAGATGTTTCCTAACAGCAGACAAACAAGCAGACTTGGATAAAATCAACACCACATTTTTGAGTAATCTGAGGAATTATCAGTTCTTCCATCTGATTTACGCATTCTGAGATTTAATTCCCTGAAATTGAGCAGCTTGTTCCGATTCTGAACCAGGTCAGTTGGACAAAGAGTAGCCATTGTCATGGCAACGAGACCTAATGCTCACAGGATCCCACTTGAGGAGAAGGACAGCTTGTCTCAATGAAAGTTTCACGGCTAAAGAATTTTTGCTGTTGTGGTACAAGTTTTTAGCCGTGGAATCGCTCCCAGCTGTTTGTGTTTTGGAAAACGAGATTCAAACCAGTGAGCTGCGTTAGTCACACTTCTGATGCAAGCTTTGGGAAAAAGCAGGAGGAATTCAACCTGACCCCACCTCCCCACGTCCCCACCCCCCCACCCAGCATGCAGGCGCGTGGGAAGGATCTGCCAGCAGAACCAGGCAGAACCCTGAACGGCCCCCCAGCCCCACCCACTGCAGCTCAGCTCCATACAAGCAGCACCCAGAAAGAACAGATCCAGCAGACTCTGAGGGGTTCAGAGAGGACCGAGTCAACATGGCAGCTGTGGGAACTCTGCTGTACCTGGGAGCGTGGATGTCTGCCTGGAGCATCACCGCTGCAGGTAAATCCAGGAGACCTAGACCCAGGATTCTGTGGGGTAGCTGTTCCTGATGTTATCTGTTTATCTAACCTACCTTTGTTCAGTAGGGACAAGTGAGAGACGAGCCCAGGAGCAGTTAGAGACAGTCCTCTTTAGTTTTATATTGACTTATAAATACAGATCTTTTATCTGAACTCCACCTGAAGGCTGGTGGGCTGCTGCAACTCGGTGGTCTGTGTCTTGTAACAGGGACGCCACAGGTTCAAACCCATTGTGTCAGAAAATACTTAAAACTTTTCTGTGAACTTTACTGGATCTGAAGAAGGGAGCAGACAAAAGAGACTTTATCTAACCGACTGGTGTGTTGGTGTCATATAACGATGCTCTTTGGAATAAACATCTGGAATAAAATCAGCTCAGCCTGACTGTGAAAACATCTGCAGTTTTTATCAGGTTTAAAATCCAACACCCGACAAGTTTCCATTTTAATGATCCAGTAAAATATGATGGAGCTAAAACTAAGAAAATATCAAAGTAACACAATCTGCTTTAAAAACAGTTGTTCTGAGATTTCAAGCTGCTTTTGGGGTGACGTCACGCGAAGGAACCATTGACGTGAGACCACCAACATTTCTGCACCCCCACCCCACCCCCGCTGAACCGACAGGCAAACCCCCACCTCTTCTCTCAATGAGGCCTGAAAGTTTACTACAGGATGAAGAAACAGATGAGTCAGATGTTGAAAAAGAGATGGAGATACATGTTTGGATTCTATACACAGGCTTTATTTTAGTGTGTTTCAGTTTCAGTGTGCACGGGGGGGCAGCCCAGACCACCTGGTCTCAGAGCTGTCTCTACAGTACTGTGTCTTCACATAACGCTGTCTCTACAGTACTGATGAGTCTTCTCGTATAGCAGTCTCTATAGTACTGATGAGCCTTCTCATAGAGCAGTCTCTATAGTACTGATGAGTCTTCTCATAGAGCAGTCTCTATAGTACTGATGAGTCTTCTCATAGAGCAGTCTCTATAGTACTGATGA